TTGGTACCATCCTTGTCTCTAACCCCATCCCAAATTATAATGTTTGGTTCTACCTCATCAAAGATGAGGATTACTACCCTGGAACACAGAGGGTCACAGCATACAGCATTTGCCATGGACTTTTATACATGCTCTTTCCATGGAGCTTGACTGATTTCTATCAATTCTTTGTCTCTCAATCTCTTCCTTGAACTGAAAGTATGTTGTGTCCCTCCCCTATGCTCTAATACCATCATGGTATTTATCAAAACATGGAGTGTGCATCTCTGTGTTGTTGGACTAAGATTCCTGAAGGCAGGAGCTTGTCTGTTTGTTCACCATCATATCCCCAGTGCCCAGGCTAATGCTCACAAAAGACACTTAGTAAACACTGAAATTGGTAAGTAAAACAGGCAGCAAGTCTGGATCTAGAAAGATCTTCAAGTGGATGCAGTTCAGGAAAGGGAATGCACTATAACAGCCTTTCTCAGTCTTTTTACCCCAGAGGAAACTTAAGGTGATTTTTAGTTTTCATAGAACACTTGTATAAAAATGTTATTTCATCAGTAACTCGTGGTATGTTAGTGTGATCAGTATGTCGTAGGTATAATAACTGATAGTAATTATCAATACTTTTGAGTAGAGATATTTCTCTGTGGATATGGGAATCCGTTTGCTAAGGCTACCTTAACAAAGTACCACAGACTGGAAGGCTTAAACGATAAAAATTCATTCTCTCACAATGCCAGAGCCTGCATATCTGGGGTCAAGGTGTCAGTAGGCTTGGTTGATTCTAAGATCTCTCTCCTTGACTCCTCCCCGTGTCTTCCCTTTATGCCTGTGTACAAATCTCCTGTTCTTACAAGGACACTAGTCATATTGGATTAGGCCTACCCTAATGACCTCATTTTAGCTTATTACTTCTTTAAAGACCCTCTCTCCAAATACAGTTACTTTTTTTTTTTTTTTTTTACTTTATCCAGGAATGCCTAAGAGTCTTATAATGGATTTCCATTATATAAGATGCTAGTGAAATATATTTTATGTTACATGATCTGTTTAGAGTAGTGTCTAGTTAAGCTTTCTTTTTTGTTAATTTTTTTGTTTTATAATCATGGGATACATGCGAGGATTAGTTACATAGGTTTATTTTGCATAAAGGCCAGATTCTGATGAGTCCACCCCCAAACTTTATTATAATTTTAAAAAATAGCAAACCTTAGTTTACTTTCTTAAAATTAATCTTTCCTGTTCAAAATTTTATAAATTCATAAAGGGAAACAATAAATTTCTGTTAAATAACTGGAATAAGACAAAATGGGATTTTATTTTTATTGTTGTATTCAGACTTGGTAGATTTAAATGTAGATTGTAAATTGATTTTAATTAATGTAAAAAAATGAAAATTTATTGACAATGTTTGCCGATAAATCAACTAAAAATAAAGCTGCTAAAACTATAAGCCAAAGCAATATGAATAAAAATGTGACCCCCACTGGACACAGGCAGTGGGGCTGGATTGGGTTCCTGCGGAGGAGCAGGACTGAGGCGTGCTCCACCCACGTCAGACCAGGCTACGCTTATTGCTTGATGCTGGGGTTGCTACTGTGATTCATGAGGCTTACATGATCCAGATCCTCAGACAGGCAGGAGAGAGAGAAGAAAAACATCAATCCAAGAGAAATCAGAAAAGGGAAGCAAAAAAAGGAAGAGACTAAAGACAGAGGCAAAGATGGAATAACTAAATCTAAACATATCCATTACCTCACTTGAAGCCTTGCAGGTCAAGGCTGTGGTAAGCTGTGATTGTGCCACTGTACTACAGCCTGGGTGATAGAGTGAGACTTGTTTCTTAAAAAATAAATAAGAAAAAGTAAAATAAAAACATCCATAAGCCGGGCTCGGTGGCTCAGCCGGTAATCCCATGCCTTTGGGAGGCTGAGGTGAGTGGATTGCCTGAGCCCGTGGGTTTGAGACCCGCCTGGACAACTTGGCGAGACCTCATCTCTACAATAAATCAAAAATTAGCCGGGCGTGGTAGTGTGCGCCTGTAGTTCCAGCTGCTAGGAAGGCTGAGGCAGAAGGATCGGCGGAGCCCAGCAGGTTGAGGCTGTGGTGGCCGGGAGCGGCCACTGCACTCCAGTCTGGGTGACAGAGTGAGACTCCAACTCAAAAAACACCAAAAAACCAAAAAAACCCCAAAACCTCCATAACTGTGTTAAGTGTAAACAGATCAAATTTACCTATTAAGACAGAGGTACAGATTGGGAAAAAAGAAATACAATCCAGCTATATGTCACTTACAAGAGACATATCAAACATAATGCCACCATAAATGTTGAAATGAAGAGAAAGGCTAGAAGAAAGCTTTTATAGCAACATTAATATGAGGCAAAATAGAATTTAAAGCTAAAATATTAGAAAGGATAAATATGGGCACAGTGAAAGGAGTGTTACATCAAGAAGCTTAAGCAACCTTGAATAAACATACATTTAACAATGTCAGCTGAAAGATATAAAGTCAACATTTATAAAATTATAAAGAGTAATTTGATAAGCCCACAATCAAAATGGGAGATTTATAAACATATCTATTAGAAATTGATAAATCAAGCAGCAAAATAAGATTATGGAAGATTGAACAACATTATTAAAGTCTAATCAGTCAGGTGTGGTGGCTCACTTCTGTAATACCAGCATTCTGGGAGCCTGAGGTGGGAAGATTGCTTGAACCCTGGAGTTTGAGACCAGTCTAGGCAACATATTGTAACCTCGTCTCTACAAGAAAGCAAAAAATTAGCTGAATGTAGTGGCATGCTCCTGTAATTCCAGCTACTCAGGAGGCTGAGATATGAGGATTGCTTGAGCTCAGGAGTTCGAGTCTGCAATGATCTGTGATCATGGACTATACTCCAGCCTCAGTGACAGAGTAAGACCCCAACTCAAAAAAAAAACAAAAGCAAAAACACCAATAACAAAAACCCCCAAGATTTATCTATTAAGTAAGTTCTCTACATAGGAACCTTCAGGTTGTGATATTTCAAAGATGAGAATGTATGTAAGCATGTCCAATCACATAAGTTAGTTTACATGTCTGGTGTACATTGTCGTGTGCATGCATCCTCTACAAGTGGTTGTGCTTTTCTGTACTTTATAGTACTGTATAGAGTACAATAGTATGGTATCTTTATTTCAAGCCCAGGATGTCTGGAAGTGAGCATAAACGCAGCAGTGATGTACCTGATACTGTATAGCTGATTGTATTAGTTGGGTACCTAGGCTAACTTTGTTGTACTTAAGAACAAATTGGACTTATGAACGTGCTTTCGGAATGGAAGCTCGTTCATATGTAGGTGACTTACTGTAGTTGCCCTTTGACAATGCAGGGGTAAGGGCCACCAACCCCCTGCACAGTAAAAAATTTGTGTATAACTTCTAGCTCCCTCAAAACTTAACAACTAATAGTTTATGTTAATTAGAAGCCCTACTGATAACATAGACAGCCAGTTAACACGTATTTTGTATCTTGTATGTATTATATACTGTGTTCTTATGATAAAGTAAGCTAGAGAAAAAAATATTAAGAAAATGATAAGGAAGAGAAAATATATTTATGATTTGTTAAGTGGAAATGGACTATCATCAAGGTCTTCATCATCATCTTTACATTGAGTAGGTGAGAAGAAAGAGGAAGTGTTAGTCTTGTTGTCTTGGATGGTAGAGGCAGGAGAAAATTTGCGTATGAGTGGATCCATGTAGTTAAAGCCCGTGTTCAAGGGTCAGGTGCATACAGTATGCCACAGTTATATAAGATGTCACTATTAGGGGAAAGTGGCCAGGCGTAGTGGCTCAAACCTGTAATTCCAGCATTTTGGGAGGCCGAAGCAAGAGGATTGCCTGAGCCCAGGGATTCGACACCAGACCTTGTTTCTACAATATATCAAAAAATTAGCCGGGTGTGGTAGCATGCGCCTGTAGTTCTAGCTACTTGGAAGGCTGAGGCGAAAGGATCGCCTGAGCCCAGTGGGTCAATGTTGGGGTGGCTGTGAGTGTGTCACTGTACTCCAGCCTGGGCGACAGAGTGAGACTCTGACTCAAAAAAAAAAAAAAAAGAAATTAGGGGAAAGTAGTGAAGGACACACAGGAACACTATGTGCTGTCTTGGCAACTTCTCTATAAATCTAAAATTATTCCAAAATAGAACAATTATTTTTTAAAAGATAATATGTCCTTGTAAAACAAAAAATCAAGTTCAGAGGAATAAATTAAGATGTGCAAGACCTCTACTGTGAGACTTTTAAAACACAATCGTTTTCATGGAGTGGAAAACTCAGTGTCACAAAGATGTCAGGTTTCCCCAAATTTATTAATAAATAATATTGTTTTAGTAAAAAATCCTACCTTGTCAAGCTGCTCCTAAAATGTATGTGAATGCAAAGGGATGAGAAATGCCAAGACAATTTGAAGCTAAGCCATGTGAAGAAAATTGACCTCCAAGTAGCAAAACTTATTTATTTATTTATTTTAGGTCAGAGTCTCACTCTGTCACAAGCTAGAGTTCAGTGGCATGATCACAGCTTACCACAGCCTCAACCCTCTAGGTTTAGGTTAGCCTTCTGTCTCAGCCTCCCAAGTAACTGGGACTACAGGTGTGCACCACCATGCCTGGCTAATTTTTTTTTTTTTTTGTAGAGATGAGGTCTCATTATGTTGCCCAAGCTGGTCTTGAACCCCTGAGCTCAAGCAGTCCTCTCCCCTCAGCCTCTCAGAGTGCTAGGATTACAGGCATGAGCCAGTGCGCTCAGCCAAGATTTACTATAAAATGATAGTAATTAAGACAGTGGTATTGGCACAGAGGAGGTGGATAGCCAGCGGAACAGAAGAGACAGCTCGGAAAAAATCCCACGTATGTATGACATCCTGATACACGTCAGAGTTGGCAGTTATTTGTCTGTTGGAAAAGGATAGACTATTCAACAAACGATGCTGGGACTGTGGATTATTCAAGTAAGAAAAAAGAGGCAGGCCAGGCTCAGTGGCTCAGCTTGTAATCCCAGTACTTTGAGAGGCCAAGGCGAGTGGATTGCCTGAGCCTGGGGGTTCAAGATCCGCCTGGGCAACTTGGCGAGACCTTGTCTCTACAATAAATTAAAAACAGCCAGGTGTGGTAGCACGCGCCCGTTGTTCCAGCTACTTGGAAGGCTGAGGCAGAAGGATCACCAGAGTCCAGCAGGTCGACACTGGGGTGAACGTGAGCATGCCACTGCACTCCAGCCTGGGCAGTGGAGTGAGACTCCAACTAAAAAAAAAAAAGTCAGACCTTTATGCCATATACAGAAGTAAGTTCCATAAAGTCAATGAAAAGCTATACATTTGTAAAAAGATCTTAAGAGAATATCTTTTTGACCTTGGGATAGAGGAAGATTTATTGCACTAAAAACAAACTAAAATTGGAAAAGACTGGTAACTGCTCACATTTAAAATTTTTAGATGTCTGTACAAAAAAAAATGATAACGAACAAAACTAAAAGATAAGTCTATTTTCAATACATGTAGCCAACCCAGGTAGCACCCAGAATATAAAAAATTCCTTCAGATAGCTAAGACACAGGCAAACAACCCAGATTTTTAAAAAATGGGCATAGTATCTGAATTCCCAAAGAAGGAAAATAGAATGCTTTGTAAAGGTAAAAGTAATGCTGTGTTAATGCTCTCCTCGTGTAATTAGCTAAGAGGGATTGTGAACTTTGTTTTTTAAATATTATTTAAAGTACATTTAATTTTGTAGAATTTTTTTTTTTTAAATCTGTGTCTTTGTTACCCAGACTAGAGTGCAGTGGCATGATTATGGCTCACTGTAGCTGTGACCTCCTGGGCTCAAGCAATCTTCCTGTCTCAGCCTCCTAAGTGCTGGGATTGCAGGCATGAGCCACCATGTCAGGCCCAATTCTGTAGGATAACTTTTTTATTTTTATTTTTTGAATCAGAGTCTCACTCTGTTACCCAGGCTAGAGTGCAGTGGCACACTCACAGCTACTGCAGCCTCAACCTGCTGGGCTCAGGCGACTCTTCTGCCTTATTCTCCCAAGTAGCTGGAACTATAGGCATGTGTCACCATGCCCAGCTAATTCTTTTATTTATTGTAGAGACAATGTCTTGCCAAGTTGCCTAGGCTGGTCTCTAATCAGGGGGCTCAGGCAATCCTCTTTCCTCTGCCTCCCAAAGTGCTGGGATTACAGGTGTGAACTATCGCATCCAGCTAGATTTAATTTTTATTGTTAACTTGGTGCTGCCAAACTTTCACAATAATGTTACCTGAATTACCAGAAAGTACAGTATCCAGCCTTTATATGTCTGATTGCCACGTGTAACATTTTAAGGAATAACATGATCAGTTAGTTATGTTTCTTTGAAGAATGAGAGATGTATTTGTAATAAATATTGCATAGGGCATGTTTTTTAGTGTTTTTTTTTTTTTTTTTTTTTTTTTGAGTTGGAGTGTCACTCTGTCACCTAGACTGGAGTGCAGTGCCGCTTCCGGCCACCGCAGCCTCGACCTGCTGGGCTCCAGCGATCCTTCCACCTCAGCCTTCCAAGTAGCCGGAATTACAGGCATGCGCTACCACGCCCAGCTGATTTTTTGATTTATTGTAGAGATGAGGTCTCGCTGCCCAGGCGGGTCTCGAACCCATGGGCTCAAGCAATCCACTCGCCTCAGCCTCCCAAAGGCGCAGGATTACAGGCTGAGCCACCCAGCCCGGCTAGTGTTCTCTTTGTAATGTTGCAAAATTGCTTTTATGGATACTTTTTGTGTGTATATGTTGCCTAAATGATTTTCCTTTCATATTCCTGCTTTTGTTCATGAATGTTAAAGTTCAGTGCTTGTAGTATTCTTGAATTCTAATATATAGACATATATGTGCATTTGTACATTTATTACATTTTTTTTTAAATTTTAAAAATTTTGGTTGGAGTCATGTTCATTTTGGGAATGAGTTCAATGTGGTCTTTTTCCTAGAACGGCCCATACCCTTTGATCACATGATGTATGAGCATCTGCAGAAGTGGGGACCGCGGAGGGAAGAAGTAAAATTTTTTCTTCGACACGAGGACTCTCCAGCTGAGAGCAGTGAACAAGGTAGAGAAATGCTTGCTTTCTTATTTGTTAATTTTTGCCATAAAGGTTAATTTATTTATTCCTAAAAATAGGAATAAATGTTACATTATTCGCACTTTTTCCCCTTTACTTACATGGGGTGAGAGGGAGAGTGTCGTTTCTTTAGCTTCTGTGACTGCAGTTTACTGTGGTGTCACACTGTGTAGTCACAGCCCTTCCTCCTCCTGAGGATCCACGTCAGTCAAGGATATTTAAAGGATTTTTGATAAATACCAGATTGGTCTAGTAAATAGATTTCAAATGTACATAAAACCATGAAAGGATTAAAAAACATTCTGGGAGATGCTCTTTTTATTGTTAGAGTGAATAAGGCCTTTCTAAGTGTAATACTAAACCACAAAAGACAAGGCTGATGAATAATTTAAAACACAAACGGAAAAGACTACATGGAAATAACTGTCCTAAGCAAAGTCAAAGACAAATTCTAAACTGGGAAATAGTATTTATAGCTCATACTACAAAGGACTAATTCCCTTTACTTGTAGAGTTCCCAGAAGTGGATAAGAAAAAAGCTTAGTAAACTAATGGGGAAAATACACACATACACAATTCACCGAAAAGGAAATTATTTGTGGCCCTGGGATCTGTGAAAAGATCTTCAGCCTTACTCCTAAGAAAGAAATGCCGGGAAAACTACACTGAGATATACTGTATGTTCCCTTTCATATTGGCAGAGATGCGAATACTTCATAGCACAGTGTCAACGAGGATGCTGAGAAGTAGGCACTCTTCCGCATCACCGTGGGGGGGCGGTCAGCTGGTGACTTCTGTACGGGGCAATTTGGAAATAGCTGTTAAATTTGCAAAACATAAAACTTTTCATCCAGTAATTTCACTTCTGAGAATTTATCCTGAAGCTGTGCCAGACACATGCAAAATGACATATATACACAGTGCTGCTCAATGAGCAGTGCTGACAACCTAAGTGCCGCCAGAGGAGCTGGGCTACAGAAAGTGCAGTCCTTCCACTCAGTGAGATGCTCTGCAGCCATCAATCGTGAAGGTGCTCTGTGCCCCGACCCAGACTATCTCCTAGACATGTGAAGTAAGTTAAGCATGGTGCACAAGTGTACACACTGAGCAGCTTTCTGTGTCAAAGTGACCAAAGAATTACTCTGTACACACATCTGCTTGTATGTGTAAAGCATCTTGGGAAGGATCTGTAAGAAACTGGTAAGGTTGTTATCCTGGGGGAAGCAGGGAAGGGAAGAGTAGTGCCACTGAGGAGCAGAGCAGGGTGGGTTGTTCATTGTACACTTTTTTGTTTTGTTCCTTTTGAACTTTGAACCATGGAAACATACTATGTATTTTTTAATTAAAATTTAAAGAAATAAGGAAGTCTTTTGTTTAGATTGGAAAATCTAGTTTATTTAGAAAGTAGATTAGAGAGAGAGAAGAGAGAGGAGAGAGTCACCTCCCCAAGATAGAGGAGGGGGCCAAAACTAAGAAAACGTGGCATCCATAGTCAAAGAGCACATGGCCAGACCATAGCCTAGCAGAGCAGTGGCTGAGATCTTTCTTTTCTGAATGCATATACACTGTACAATGAAGAGATCTTTAACTTGTTATTTAACAGTGATTATGTATTACTTCTGGTATTTTTTAAAAGCTCAAAAGAACATTACTTTGTAAAGAAAAGATTTCTTTATTGCAAGTTATTCCCCTTTACTTGCATTTTGTATTAAAGGAAATGTTGCCCTTGAATGAGCTACTGTTTACTTAAAAATCATCTTTCCATAGCTGTAGATATTGTTGTAGTGCTGTCTTTTGTATACACCATGACGTCCGGGCTTTTTTTGGCTGCTTCTGGTCATCTAGAGCCAGGAACCAGGACATGGAGGCTGCAGGCACAGCTCTTTTATCCACTGTTAGCTTAGACCAGGGCCTTCCTTTCTGGGAAAGTTTCCCTGAGGAGGAGGGTTAGACTGGTGGACAGTTGAGGTGATGTCCTGGTGCTAAGGGTTTATTTTAAAACTCGCTATGTGAGTTCTCCAGCCACCTATACCCTCCTTGCCTAATTATGCTAAAATCAGAAGACTCACTTTTTACTTTTATTGATGCAATATGTGCGCATAACCTGTAGTGTCCTGGGGGAGAAGAGCTTTTTTCTCCTAGAAATGTTAGGGATGCTTAGAGAATCATCAGAGTCATTAGGAAGGTGATGGTGCTAGCCATCAGGCTGACTTTCGTGGTCACAGCAAGTGCTGTTCATCTGGTTGTGGCGGGAGCATATGTGCGCCACATGGGCACAGCGGGCACCGAGTACTGTGGCCTAGGAGATGGCCATCAATGTGGAGAGACCTGAGAGGGATGCCCTGCAGGATATGGGGCTCAGAGTGGACCCTGAGGAAGAGTGGGATTTGTGGGGGAGAATTCAGCACTGCTGTGTTCTGGAAGGGGCTAGGATATGAAGGACACGCCAGGCGACCTGAGTGAGATGTGGGGACCAGGGACACACCTTTTCCACCTGGGCTGGCACAGGTGATTGGTCAGGATCGAAAGAATCAGATTCATCACATACCTGTCATGACTGTTCAGAGCTTTCAGCTTCCCTGTTTATCAGTCCTCAGGTTAGCTTTGGTGGCATTTGTAATGTGCCCCTGTGAGCTTCAACCTCCTTGTCTCTCTTCCAACCACAGTCTTTCTTGCCCATTTGTTATCTTTCATGCTCTGACTCAGAATTCCATCTCCCCATCTCCAACGCCATGCCCTCTGCCCCTTTTCCTCTACTTAATGAGGTGGCATAGAGAGCAGTGCACATGGGTGCTGTGTTCCCTGTTATGTTTTGCTTTTACTAACTGAACTTCTCTCTTCAGCTTATTTATGTTCTAAGGAGCCAGAGTTTAGATCCCAGACTCATGTTTCTTGCTTGGGGCAAGGCAGGTGTTACTATTTGATATTATTTAAAGGGAGTTAGGCCAGGCATGGTGGCTTACACTTGTAATCCTAGCACTTTGGGAGGCTGAAGCAGGAGGACCACCTGAGGTGAGGAGTTTGAGACCAGCCTGGGCCACATACCAAGATCCTGTCTCTACAAAAAGTAAAAAAAAAAAAAAAAAAAGAAAGGCCAGGTGTGCACATGTAGTCCCATTTGCTTAGGAGACTGACACAGGAGGATCACTTGAGCCCAGGAGTTCAAGGGTGTAGTGAACTGTGATTATGCCACAGAATTGCAGCGATAAAGGGAGACCCTGTGTCTTTATTTTAAAAATGAATAAAATAGTCCAAGCACTTTGGGAGGCCAAAGCAGGAAGATTGCTTGAGCCCAACAGTTAAAGGCAGCATAGCAAGATCGCATCTCTATAAAAACTAAGAAAATTAGCTGGGCATGGTGGCACGAGCCTGTAGTCCCACTACTCAGGAGGCTGATGCAGGAGGATCGCTTGAGCCCAGGAGTTGGAGTGCAGTTGTGCCACTGCACTCCAGCCTGGGCGATAGAGTGAGACCCTGACTCAAAATAATAATAAATAAAGAGGATTGCACTTGAGTGTTTATTGTGTGTAGAGCTACAGGACATAACAAAAAGAAGTAAAAGACATTCCTCAACTGAAAGGATGAGAATTCTCTATTTAGAATCTGGAGGAGAATGTGGAGGACGTTTACCTCAACCCCCTTTTACACTTAAGGAAACAGAAGCTTAGAGTAACTCAATGAAGCTCATACAACCAGCTAGTTGCAGAGCATAAACTAGAACCCGGGAGATGATGTGATGGGGTTAGGAGCGAGCCCGAGTTCACCCTTGGCCTGTTTTTTACTTAGGGCGGGACCTTGGCAAGTGACTTCACCTTCTTGTGCTTTGGTTTCCTTGTCAGCCTTTTAGAGTTGTGGGTGAATGACATGTGCTGTGACGTGCTTAGAGGGTCTTGGGCATAGTAAGTACTTACTGGTGGTAGTTTATCATTCATTATTTTCTGACTCTGAAATGCAGGATCATCAGGTTTCTCCTTTACCATCAAAGATTAGATGGCACTTGGTATAATTTTAATGCTGTGTATTTATAGTATTCTGATTTCTTAATAGCTTGTTGTCTGGAAGAGGTAGCAATTGAAGAATATTAAATCAACTTTAATACCCTATTCCTTAAAAATACTCAGAACAATTAAGAATTTAATTTATCTGTAAACTGATAGATGCCATAGGTTTCATAATCTCTTTTTAATTGTCACCCCCTAAGGAACCTATTTTAGTTTTTTTTGTTTGTTTGTTTGTTTGTTTGTTTTAGTTGGAGTCTCACTCTGTCGCCCAGATTGGAGTGCAGTGGCCGCTCCCGGCCACCGCACCCTCGCCTGCTGGGCTCCGGTGATCCTTCTGCCTCAACCTTCCAAGGAACTGGAACTACAGGCGTGAGCCACCACGCCCAGCTAATTTTGAGGTCTCGCCAAGTTGCCCAGGCGGGTCTCGAACCCGCGGGCTCAGGCAATCCACTCACCTCAGCCTCCCAAAGTGCGGGATTACAGGCTGAGCCACCGAGCCCGGCAGGAATCTCTTTTGAACATTGTGTTCTAACATGTCTCCACCTCCTCCCATTAAATACACTGTATATCCACTTACATACTATATATCTGGGCTTTATTTATTTATTTATTTTGAGTTGGAGTCTCATGCTGTCACCCAGACTGGAATGCAGTGGCATGCTCCTGGCTATTGCAGCCTTGACCTGCTGGGCTCCAGCGATCCTTCTGCCTCAGCCTTCCAAGTAGCTGGAACTACAGGCGTGCGCTATCACGCC